TAACCCACCTCTGCTTTGATTTAATCCACCTCTGCTTTGATTTAATCCACCTCTGCTTTGATTTAATCCACCTCTGCTTTGATTTAATCCACCTCTGCTTGGATGCAGTCCACTGGCAGCTGTTACTCTCCACTGTCACCCTACGCTTTCAGACTATAAGGAAGTGGAGGAAACTGAACAGCTGAGGCCCTCTGCTGGTTTAGAAACACCAGGTAGACAAATCAGGGTTTAATGGTGAATTGAACCTAAATGTTTTCAGCTTCTTAAAGTAATGTTTTTATTTGGATCAGATCATTATGACTCTTGTGAATGTGATTTTTTTTTTTATCTAAAGTGAATTAAACTAAATAGATTATCATCACTTTAAATTCAACTTCTTATTTAAACCTGAAAAGTGGAGGGAGGCTTAACATATATAAATATTTTCTAATTGTTGTGTGATAAAGTAGAGCTGTCTGCATTTCCGACCCGTTTGGACCTGGATCTATGCAAGGCGTCCCGCAGGGCTGAGCCCGAGCGGAGGACAGCAGCTGTGGTGGACAGAGTGCTGATCTTAGTGTGGTTCTGCCTACTGTTGTCAGAGATATCCAGGGTTCTGATTGCTGTCGCCTCGGAGATGTGCTCCTGTATCACCTGGGCCCCAGCCGAACACAGCTGCACACAGATTTACTGTTTAGTGACAATCAGAACCTGCAGGCACAGAGTTTAGCATTAGGATGAGCTGGTTTACTGTGTACCTCACAGCTGCTGAGATCTAACGCCAATCCACAGAGATGCGTGTTGGTGGCAAGACCCTGCAGCAATAACCTTGAAGCAAAAACAGAAAAAGATCTCCATCTTAGGAAACATTCAGCGGAGCAGCTGCTAGTTAAAGAAAGACTAACCACTTCTAAGAAGAGACTCCAGATCAAAATATTCTCAGTATCATGAAATCTTCAAGATATGTAGAATCCCAACCAGGGGTGGATTTAGGACATTTGAGACAAAGACAGACAGGGGCCCTCTGAATTGAGAAGACCACACATAAAACATCCCCATGTGAGATGAGATATTAGACTGTGCCTTTCCTCAGCCAATTAGAAGTAAGCTTGAACCTGTCTATGCTGCGGGTTATGCAGGTAGTTGGGAGTGAGATGACAGAGAGCAGTTGCCTCTTAACTCTAGACAAGAGTGAAATATAGATACATGCCCTTCAAGGTGTTTGAGACTCCCTAATGCTATGAACAGCAAAGAGCTGTTTGGAAATGTTTTTTATCTGACTAATGAAAAATGTTTGTCTTTAATGAAAGTTGCTTCTCTTGGGAGGACCCAATGTTCGTGAGTGAGAATTATCTTTATATGCAGGGGTGGGAAACCATGCCGCCAGCGCCTCCCTAACAGTTCAACTGTGAGTGTTGTTCTCCTCTGCAGAGTAAAATAAAACTATTTCTTCCTTTCTCAGTGCTCATTTAACTTCACAACCATTCTACAGATAGAGAAATGTTAATAGAATAGACGTCCATTATCTGTTCTAGGTTTTGTCCCTCTCTTCTTGTCCCTTTTCTTC